TAATATCCAATTTCTTGCCAAAGTTTGATTAGTTTATGTTTAAATAAGATCACTCTGGCAATAACATTCAATTGATGATTATTTTTATAACTATATTAAGGAGAATATTCTTCTTAAATGTTAATCAATTTATATGGCCATGGTGTAAAAGGCACAAACTAATATTTTTTAATCAGATTTTCTAAAATAAACCAGTTTCTTTCTAAAACTATTTTAGCATTTTTTATAATCTCAGGGCCATCAGAAAGAAAATAAAAATACTCCATATCATTACTTTTTAAATACACTTCATCAATTTTATAAATTTTTATAGCTTTAGCAATAATTTGAAAAACTTCTTTAATATTGGCAAAAGAATTCCATTTTATTTTGTTTTCATATAAGACATTATTTGGAATCAATATTTTATTATTTGTTAATATATGTTGTGATTTAAGTATAATTAAATTAGAATCAGAATCACCAAAGCATATCATCATTCATTGGACAAAATATTATAAGATAAGACATTCAATTTAAATAAAGCTTCAATAAGCTGGATATTTAAAAATTGATGCTTTGTTCTAAATTGTAAGTCTTTTTTGAAAGCATAAAACAGTGCATAGCATCTACTATAATGGTAGACTAACCAATATGCATGTTCAGTAATATCATAACTAATTTTATTTTATTCTTTTGATACCTCTGTTAAGAAGATAAAATTATTTAATAAAATGAAAATTATTTGTTTGACTTCAGTAGAAAATGAATTCATAATTAATTTGAGAACAAAAAAAAAGAATAAAACAATCAATTTATTTATAATTATTAGTTTATAATACATTACATGATTAATTAAACAAGATATATTATTCACTATCATATCTAACTCTTTTACTATTACATATTGGAGTTTTAGTTTCTGACTTTAAATTCATTCTTTTATTTTCTTACTCAAGTGCAGTTATTCTTTCTTTTAAGAACCCTATTTCATACTCCAATTTATTATTTCTATCAAATAACATTTTATTATTGTCTCTAATTTTTTTATTTTGTTCAATTAATTTATCTCGATTTTTTAGAAGTCTTTTAATATATTTCATCTTTTGCAGTTACTAAATTTTATATTTTCTAAATTTTTCTTTTTTTTCATATACTTCAATATACAACTGATATATTTCATTCTTCAATTTTCAAATTTTATCATTTTTTTAATAAGTTTATTATTAAGGTCTTTAATATAATCATTCTTTTTATCAATTACTTTATAATAATCATCAAGCATTATTTGAATTTTTTAACTTCATTTTCAATATTTATATTTTCATTTTTGATGCTTCAGTGTATTTATTTGTTTTTTCATTAGAGAATTCATCAGTAATTTCTTTTTTAACATCATTTTCATTTGAATCATTCATTTTTTCTTTAACAGGAGTCATTTTATTAACAGTTATATTCTTTGAAATTTCTTCTTCAACAAAATGATCATTATCAATAAATGCATTAAAATTCATATCATCAGTTACAAAAGCTTTGTTATTCATAAAAAAATATTAAATATTTGATAGAAGAATATAAAAATAACCTGATGTTCAATTATTAATAATACATTTATATTCATTCAATTTATTTGATTCATTAAATTTATCAGAATAATAATCATTTTTAGCAATTTCAAAATTCATTTTTTTTCTTTATTTTTCTTCAAATAAAAGTTGTTGAACTCATTCAGAAATTCGATTCTTATTTTAATAACTTTTTCTAGTCAACATGTTTTGTTATAAAAAATGAATTTTGAGTATCTATTTTCTGAATTGAACACAAAAATTAGTTTTACTATTTTCTAAACATAGATGAATTAGTAATATCATATATATGATAAAGACTGTCTTATTATGTAATTCTTATTAAATTTTTTATCTATTCTCCTTTTAGTAATTCTTATAACTACAAAAAACTCATAGACATTTATCTTTTTTTTGTAATTGTATTTTTAAATTTGATATGCCAATTCATCATATAACATTAATATAAATAAAATATATTGATAATTAATGGTTATATTTTGTACAATGTGATAATTAATATGACTATTAAATATATTAGTACACCTTATTCTATAGATAAACTGAGATAAAACTGACATTCCATAAAATCTGCAAAATGAACATCATTGTAGTATACTTACCTAATTGGAGATGCCAATGACATTCTATCTGAAACATGTGCATTTGACCCAAAAGAAGCTATATGACAGACACAAGCCTTTATGTGAGACCCCACCATCCTCAAATAAAGAAAGGTCAATATGAACCAAGCTGTTTATGTTGGGAATGAATGTTGACTCCACCTATCCTACTTGGGTTAGCTGTAAACTGATTTCAAAAGAGATGTGATTGAAGTTAATATGATGAGTTCTGGTTTCAAAATAGTAAAACTGAAACATTTCTCATTGGTTCTATGAAAACTATAAAAAATATAAAGTAATGAAAGGCTGTGTAAGAGGGGTAAAGGTTAGAACAAAAATGGTTGGAAAGCATTAAGAATAATGAGAAGAGTTATAGTCTTATATGGGCTCTTCTTATACTTAATTCATTATAAAAAGAGTAAAATTTTCTCCTTTCAAAAGTAAAGTTCAAACCTATAGTTTAGAGTTATATAATTATATAACTCTATAATTGTATTGTCTTTATAAGATAATATAACTAATAAAAGCTATTTTGAACTAATACAATATGCTTTTTTAAAAAAAATTGTAATACTCATCTTGTAATGCTTCTTATCAATTATCTCAACCTTGTGTCAAATCAAAAAATCATCTTTATATTTTTGAGGTATGTTATGTTATATAATCATTTTTTAAATAACAATCTGTTGCATTTGGCCCATCTCTAAACTCAATTATAAAACCTATAACAATAGGTTTTTAGACTCAGTTATTAAATTTAAAACCAATATTCAGATTGCAAGTACTATCAACTTTTTTTATAAAGAGTTATTTTCTTATTTTAGAAATAGATTGCAATAAAGAATATAGTTTCCTATAACTGAAATGATGTCTGCATAGATTTCTTCTGTTCTTAGTTTCACATAACATTGTGCAACTACTTATTATGTAGTAGCAACAACTCATCTTATAGGAACATATTATATACTTGGTAAAGTTTCTAGAGATTTTATTGAACTTAGATTTGCAGAATTTGTATAAGCAGTTATTTTCTTTGTTGGAAAATATTTATTATTTTTAGACTTATCATATAGTAATTATAGTAATTGTTATAATTGTTAACAGAAAACTTTTTGTTTTTTTCTACTAAACCCCAGCCTAATATGTTGCTTTACAAATAAATATTTTGTTTTTATGTAAAATTATTTTTTTAGTTTGTTATTAGTATTAGTTATAAAATTTATTTCTAATATTAGCTTTATTTTTACTATTTTTCCAAATATTTTATTAATGAATTTTAATAGACATACTACTTTTTTAAAAAATTAGTATATATTTATTACTGTATTGTAAACCCTCTAGGCTTATTTTGAGACCAAAACTTTAAAATGAACTAATAATTAATTTAGTATAAGTTTTTTTTAAGTTTTATTATTAAATAAATATTAAAATTTAAAACCAAATTTTTGGACAAATTAATTATTAACTCATTTTAAAATTTGTCTCTAAATAACTTCATGAACATTATTTCGTAACAATATAATAAAATGAAATAATATAATTATATTATCAAAATTGGATTATTATGTAGACAATTTCATCACCTGGTTTATTAAATGTCACAGCTGATGCTGACATTTACGTAACATATAATAAAAAAAATTTATTATATACAAAGTTTATTTATGTTAGGGTTAGTGTTTAAATTATGTTAGAGTAAGGTTAAAGTTCTGTGAACTATATAGTAAAATCATATAAAGTAATCTTTTTTTGTTAATGTATAAAAGGTTGTTTCTATACAAATTTTTGATGTTTTCAAAATTAACATATTTTTAAATTTTCAATCATGACTTATTATTGACTGATCATTATATAAACATTAACATTAACCAAAATCTGCATCAACAATAATAAAAATATTGTGAACAGTAGAATGGTAATACCAGAAGCTCATTTAAGCAGATGATTGATGTGGCATAGTAATGAACAAATGACTATGTTGATCACCTACCTTAAATAGGTTTTCTGGCAGTATACACTGTATTCATGGTATACTATGTATTCTATGTATTGGGTGAATAATAGATATTAGTAGAATCAAGAGTATACTTAAAATAATCAGTATTAGAGTAGTTGCGCAATGCATGATGCAATACAGAACCAGTACGATCATACTGCAATAAGTAAAATTCTGACTATTCATTTGATAAAATCAGTCATTAAATACCTCATTACTTTCTAGATAAATTAAACGAAAATGGAAAAAAACCAACAAATATAAGTAAAGGTGTTATTACAGCAAATTTATTATAACTCATGATTCGATGATTTGAATTAAATAATTTTTTATTATTTGATTCACCTTTTTAAGGCAAATCAAAAGGTACAAAAATTGTTTAATTTAGATCTTTGATTCACAGAATATTATTAACTCACCACAATATAAGATCAACAAGTCACAATACACTCTTATTTTCACAGTATTTAAATAGTAACAACTTATAACCTATCAATTCAATTTGTCTCTTCAAAATGAATTGAATGGTATAAAAATCATTTAATTCGATTGATAGATTATGAGCCTAAAGAACTTAAAGAAGAAACATGAAAGTTAGTATCAAGTACTAAATGAAGCAAAAAAAAAAATTGAACTATGATGCTAATGCAAAAGATACACAACATCAATAATGGAAAGTGCTAAAATCCGAAACTGTTATATAAAAAATTTAACCAAATAAAAAAAAAAAAAGACACTGGACTAACAATGCCAGTAACAAATGATATACCAAAATGGATGACACTAATAACAAAAGCAAGACAAAAGTACCAACTAACAACAACACAACAAACACTAATGATGGAAAGATCAAAATTCAAAACTGCAGAACCTAAAGAAAAAAAGAAATGCAGTAAAAAAGAAAAAAAAATTTATGTAACCAGTAATGGTAATGGTTACTGTTTGAAAATTAATATTAATAATCAGTAGCTTCGCATTATGACGAAATTAATATGTAATCAGTAAGTCAGTTTACATCATAATGACATATGCATGTCTGCATATGTAGCCACATCATATGGTATGCAAAAATCGTAACTCTTTCCAAAAACGGATAAACGAAATTCATTACTCCTACTAAAAAAGGATTTTGCAAAAATCAGCATAAGCGACATCAAAAAGGTTGAAGGAAACCATCCCTACCACATTTCATGTTACACAAGAAACGTGATCGTACTGGTATAAACATTATCATCAGTATAATTGGTATAAACGCTATAAGTAGTGTAGACGATATATCACGAATAAAATGTATAACGTGTCCTATGTAAATGAAAGTATATAATAAAGGCTTCGAGCCCTCCAAGAACAGTTCAGTTAGTTCTCATCATAAATTCGCTCCCAATAATTTCCCTGTCTAAACATATTATAAAACCTACGATCATAAATACACCACTCTCCAAATCTAACCGCCTCTTATCGACTAAGCCGTTCGTAGGTTACACGACATATCCCATCGACAAGCGACTGACTCGCCGTTTCGCCCGTGTCAATATATTAAAGGTAAGGGTTGGGATCCTTTGAATATTCATTATGGCTAATTCACGAATAATATGAATAAATATACACATTTTACAAGGATATTCATAGATAATTCACGGATATTCGGAGAATTTGCAGATATTCATAAAGAATTTACGGATATTTAGAGCATTTGTAAAGTTCGCGGATAATCATAAGAACTCATCAGATATCACATGATTACGTTTCTCATATAGGAGCCGTGCAAAATCCCGATGCACACAATCCTGATGGTATATAATCCCGATAGCCAAAATTCCAAAATAATAAATCATATGAAACACTAAAATCCAGAAAATACAAAATCTTGACAGTTTAAAATCCCAAAAGTACAAAATTCCGATAATGAAGCATTATAAATTTTAAATGGTAAAATACCAAATATTAGGGTTAGTAGTCATGATTTTGGATTTTCGAGATTTTGTATTTCAGGACTACCAGGAACGGAGTGATGCAGATCACGAAGTGTATGGTTATACGGCAATTTAAATGACGTGAATGATTAGATATGCATCAAATGCACTTAAATTTCAAAATTTTACATTGTCACATGGATCTGAACTTGCATATATTAAACTTACTTTGTTACCGGTTTAAGGGTGAGAAAGATGATCTTGTATTTTGAACTACTATTCGTTCATATTACAAGATTAAAAGATGAAATAAACATAAACCTAAATTTCTGTGTAGGTTCGATTATCAAATATCATTAATCATTTCCAAATGCAGCACATACCAGTTAATATTTCTTTAGGCAGGAAGCATTCATCAAGTTTTATAGATCTACCCGTGATTTCCCGTGATAATTGGCCAATCAGATTACATAATTCAATAGAACAAATTCATAATACTGACAAAACTTTATACTACATATTAGCGAAACTTGAATCCTATTTTTTATTAATTATATTTAATTACATAATCGAGCGGAAACCATATTTTAATTATTACTGCCTTTGTTAGAAACGCTACTACCTTTAAAATATATTATCAATTAGGCAATATCCTACTTACGGTAATAAATTCTTCTAGTTGCTTCTCATATTTGTATCCGCCAAAGAAAAACTTCCAAGAAATTCCATTATTTATTTATGTAAAATCTTAAATAATCTTATTTTCAGTTATTACAGTCGTTGTACCAATATTTTAATTAATACTACACGTTTCTATATATTATTGTAAAATTATTTTAAATCTACTAAATACTAAAGTAATATAAATAAGCTTTAGAATTATTAAAAGAAGTAGTTTAAACTTAAATACAATAAGTTAACAGATTGTAAAAACTTTTTTTTCAAATCTGAAATTACCTTAAACGTCTTGATCGTTCTTTTTTTTTGACTATTTTTTCGCATTTAGTACTTGTATATAGTAATAGTAATAAATAGCGAAATACATGCTTCTAAGTGAAGTTCTTGGAAAGTGGATTATTTTGGATTAATTTTAACAGTGAATATCTATGTTTGTCTAGACCTAGAATTTGCTTTCGTGGTGATTTTATTTGTTAGTGAAACGTTACATTCTCAAAAAGTACTTTAAAGTGTATAAATAAGTTACCCGGGCAAATTGATTTACATCAGCCAATCAGAAGACAGCCATCCTATGAGGCTAACATAGCTAAGCAATAATATCCAGAAGCAATCAGGTTAGACACAGAAGTGCAACCATTGCTAGAGAGCACGTGAGGTCAGGAACTATGATATACATAATTCCCAATCATATCTATATTGTAATTGGTTGAAAGGTAAAGTACTTAGACACAGGCTCTTATATAGCCAATAATTGGCTGTTTTTTTTAGGCCTGGTTTTGCGCGATGACGTCGTGCAGCTATCTAATTTAGTATTTCAATATTTTAGTATTTATGGATTTTGTCTGTCATGTTTATATATCATCGAGATTGTGTGCATCAGGATTTTGTACAAAACCCTCTCATATACCAGAAAAATAGAGGATATTTACATTGATTATTCGTACAGAATATTCACACAGATATTAATATAGATAATTTTCATGAAATATTCTTGATTATTCACGGATCTCATGTAACAGAATATTCACTTGCCAATTGTATAAAATTACTTTGTAATACTATAGTGCTATTTTATATATAATTACTGAAATCTTAATTTTAAATAGAATAATATACTATCGCAAGCTCACCTTTTGTTACAATTTTAATATTTTAAATTCATTACATTCTGCATAATGAATATTTGCTTTTATCTAATATTTTTTTAAACTGTATGGGCTAGGAGCTATAAAAAGGAACGAAATTGGCAATATATATATATATATATTTTTGTTATAAACCATTAATTATCTCGTAAACTATCACTTGATTTTGGTACTATTCAATTCTGATTAATAGTTCATAAGATAATTAATTTTTTGAGAAAAAAATTTTTGTCAATTTCGTTCCTTTTTATAACACCTAGCTAGAGATGGGTTTCATGCGTGCGCATGATTGCGGAAACATGCGCATTTTATCCCATCAAGATTTCTCTCCTCTCTATCGGTTTTTCTTTTTTTTTGCCTTTTTTTTATCATGCGATATCATGCGCATGTTATTTTAAAATGCGCATTTTTCCCATCACTACTCCTAGCTCATAAAGTTTAAAAACATATTAAATAAGAGCAAATATTGATTATGCTGGATATAATGAATTTAAAAATATTAAAACAATAAGAAAAGGTGAACTTACAATAGTATATTATTTTATCTAGAATTAAGATTCGGATAATCAGTTATATAATCTCATAATTATATGGGAAGCCGTCAATAGAAATAAGGCAGATTGACATTTGAAAAAAAAATTTACCTTAACTTTCATAGCCCATATCTCGATGGATTTCGATACTATCTTGATGATTAAATATTCAAAAGAGAGCTTAGATCGTAAGCTTTCTTTTGACTATTGAATAATCAAGATAACATCAAAATCAATCAAGATAGCATCAAAATCCATCGAGATATGGGTTAATAAACTTAAGGTGAAATTTTTTTTCAGATGTCAATCGGCCTTATTTCTATTGACGACTGTCCATATATGAGATAGTAGTATCGTATTATAGTATTACAAAAATAGTTTTATATTTAAAATGCTTATAATTCAAAATTTTGTGAATGAGTAAGTTTATTGTAAGAGTGAACCCAGTTTTTTGCAGCTAAATGCGGATTACACTTTGATATGATGTGTGTAGCAGATTTTGCAATTTACAGCATGGGTTTCGCCCAAATCCTATTTTATTTATATGCAAATATGTTAAAGTATTAATGATTTATATGTAGTTATTTTTGTAAAAAAAAATTTAATTTATCCTTCTAATAATTATGCCTTTAATCTATTTATTAAACCAGGCAGTGAAGCCGTCTAGATGATAATGTTCTAATTTTCATGTTATAAATATATTACTTAGTTTAATACAAGTAAAGTTTGAAAAAAAATTAGTAACTTTGACTATTAAAATTCTATTAAATTTTAATAAAATCTTCAGAAAAGTAGTAAAAATAAAGCTGACATTAGAAATAAATTTTATAGCTAATAATAAAACAAATATTACATAAAAACAATTTAAAAAACCAATATTACATAAAAAACAAAAATTTTTTTCCCAAAGCAACAGGTCTGATAGCAAAAAAAGGTCTTTCTGTTAACAATTACTACATGACATGTCTAAAAATAATAACCGTTTTCCAACGAAGAAAATAACTGCTGATGCAAATCCTGCAGATCTAAGCCCAGTAAAATCTCCAGAAACTTTACCAAGTATATAATGTGTTCCTATAAGATGAGTTGTTGCTGCTACATAACCGATCATACATCTAAAAGCAATTCTTGAATCACCCTTTACAAATGGTATACATATCACAAATATGAATGGTGCAAATACAAAAAATATTGCACTAGTAACTTCATATTGTGTATGTTCTAGCTTAATAATCAATGCTACAAGACCAACCCATCCAGTACTAGATAATAAAACTGATAAGAAAACTCCACATGTAGTGTAAAAATTGTCACGATCAAAACTATTCTCTGATTTTGATGCTGTAGCATCATTTATCATTTTGAATGCCCACGGAGAGAGTTGCCCAACAGCTGAAACTATTAAGACCCATTCTTCACGACATCGTATACATGTATAAATGGTCGGCCCAATAGTCATAACAAATGCAATAAATGCAAAGCTTAAATTCTGTGATTGATAAGCCGGTCTACACCATAGCCATGGAGAGAACAATGGTAAATTACCAAATAAAATAAAAAAATTTGATAACAATGACAAAGCCCAGCAAATGAATCCAAATACACCAAATGGTAACGCATAACAAGATTCTATTTTTTCTGAAAAATCTAAAAAAATATTATGAGACTTTAAGTTTGCCGACTACAACCATGATAACCGTAATAGATATTGAACTCACCGGACATTTTTAACTAAAAACTTTTTTTTTCCCCGATATTCTTGCTGTTTTGAAAAGCGAAAGTATTGAATATCAAAGAAAAACAGAATTGTATAAAAATATATAAAACACGGGGCATAAACTGTCTCGGTGCATATCAATATTGAGGACAAAATATTTTCAACTACTTTATTAGGAAATACCCAAAATCAAAATATATCGATATAGAATGAAAGTTTGATGTTTATTTGAGGTTAGGACTAGAAAAGGTGTTATAGGTAAAATTGCACTCTCAACAATTTTTATTAGTGCATCAAAATGGGTTTTGAATCCAGTTTCTTTGCTTTTTCGCCTTTTTTGCTTTCTTTTTTCTTTTGTTTCGTAAATTTACAATTCGATTCATTAATGCAAGTCCTAAAATAAGGAAATATCATAATGAGTATGTAATTTTGTCCGCAGTGCATTGCAGGATTTGTTTACCAAATTCATGGTATACAATTATCTGACGTATGACGAAAGTAATACTAAAGCGAAAATCTTATTACATGTTAAAACTATAGATGTTACTATAACCGTTGAATGGGAGAGCAAGTTAAATGATATAATCAAGAGGCCAATTTAACTCCAACGATGTATGGGTTGATAAAGAAAAACGTTAATAGACAAGACAGGTCTTTTATAACGGTTAAAAAACTATCCGTGGAATTGGACGGGTACTTTGATATCGATCAAAAAGTGATGCGACTATAGGCGATGCTGGTAAGGGTAATGATCTTGAAGACAGTGATTTGTCAAAGCTGACGATGATCAGTAATATTTTTAGGTCCACTTGATAATTTATAGAGATGTTCTTTATTAAAGTGCAGGAATGAATATTTAATTCCGCTATTGTACTAGAATTAATAATCCCAGTCGAAGTTACAAGTCAATTCAGTCCATCGAATTGAGCCTCGATGGATTTATTAATGTTACAAATCAAACTCAAAAAAAAAAAAATTCACAAAGGAAGATAAATATATACTTCGTTATATATTTGTTAATTAATAGGGGCAAGAATTCCCCGTACTTTATTAAATTCTAAGGTCTTATATGCTTTTTTATTTTTCAGAATGTGATATTAAGTTTTTCAAGGACCACGCTGGTAATCAAGCGAATACGCTATATTCTCGTCGATTACACTATTAATTTAGCGTTGGCGCGTTTACTACGCCACCAGGCCACCCTTGATTACCCTTTTGTATAAGTTATAAAAAATGCAAAGAAAAATAATAAAATTTCCAAAATTAAGCATCACTATCAAAATAAATGGGAAATTACATCTAGACGATGCACGTGCGATAATTTGCCGAAAATATGATGCATTTACTAAAAAAAAAAAGATTTTTTAATTCGTTACAATACCCAAACCTGATAGTTCATGACTCATTTGCCCGAAACTATTTTCTGAGAGGCCATTTACTCGACATAATACAGTTTGACAATTTACTAATAATTTATACAGTTGTTCGGGAAATCGGCGAGTCTGTCACTAATCTAATCCAACTATCACGTTACATACGATGGCTAGTGACACGGGCGAAACGGCGAGTCAGTCGCTTGACAAACGGATATGTCGTGTAACCTACGAACGGCTTAGTGGCTCAATGATAGATTACGGTGCCCGGAAAATGTACCGTTGATTATCAAATCACCTAAACCAAAGAAATTACCGAACACTAAAGATCGTACAACCAAATAAATAATACTACGGATTAACCATCGTAACACTAAACGATACGCGAAATATAAATTTACAAATTAGCTTGGGAATATAATTTAAACAATAGTTAGATACAATAGTCTAATTTATTACAATAGCATAACTTTATATTATTCGAAAATGTATAACGATAAAACATATTTAAACAATTCGATTTTACTTAGCTAGAACTTCGTACGTTAAAATAATTTTACTTACCACCTTACCTTGAAAAATAATAATTGCGATTCATGTATCTTCGATTATACCACTTATATTTAATCGTATATGTAATATTATTAGAAATAATACTTACATTTTTAATAGTTGTAGAACAACTATATCGAATAACGTATACAAACCCAAAGGAACATATAAATCATTAACGCTAACGCTCCCTAAACATATTAGCTATAACTCATATTATATTTGTATTAATTATAAACATATTATATTAAATAAACTGAATTAAATATTTGAATAACGTAAAAACTTTGACGTCTTCAAAATTATTAAATGAATAAGCTGAGATAACATTCTTACTCGAATCCAACAAGAGACTGATCACCTCAAGTGAAATTCAATAGTAAAGATTGTATAATACGATATTTATCCCATTATATTACACCAAAAATTTGACAATTAACAAGAACAATAAGAAGATACGCAACCTTACAATGAAATTACACATATTATTTTGGAACAATATAATTAGAACTTTAATTATAATAGCCTTTATCACAATAATACACGACCTATTTTTAAATCATATCAGAAGACAAAATAAACGCCTATGTGATAAAACTAAAAACAATTGGAAACAATAATATTTACATTTCGCTAACGCCAAACCATTACCAGATCAAGTAATACCAATAACAATATTTCCTACAATAACAATTCAAACTACAACAACAAGTTCAACACCAACAATAGTCAATACAATACCTAACACAATAGATAAACCTTCTAACACAATCAAAGTTGTCATACAAACACAAACTACGGATCAGAATAGTTCAAACAACAATATCTTAATTATTGAAATATTAAGTGCAATATTTACATTTGTAACAACCATATTAGCAACAATACTCTATTGTATAAGAAGAATCAAAAAGAACAAAAGAAATAAACAATTACCACACGACATAGGACAACCAATGTTTCCACTTGCCGCAAACATAATACCTGGACCATATTCAAACCAACAACAATTGTTTCAACAATCACAAGTCTCAGACTTAGCAAAACAATTACAACAAAGAGATTTAAACAAAGGAAAAGGAAGACCTAAACAAAAAAGACGCCCACAAGTAGTAGGCACAGGAATACCAACTCAGCCAGGACAAAGATATAATTATTTCACTGCAGACGGACACGAAACATCTGACTACGCAACAGACTCAACTTGGAATAGACCATAAAAACAATGTCGACTACAACAATAAATGTTCAACAAACCACTTTAACAATCAACAATACAAACAATAACTGCAATAATACTAATCAAATTAACCTTTACTTAATATTTATCATTATAATACTAACATTATTCTATTTACTAACAATCATATGTGTTTGCTGTCACAACCAAAGATATAAAAAGAGGAACTATCGAGACAATCCATCATTAGGATACAACACTCAATACAGAGATTCAACTTGCAAAATACTTTAAAAACATATGACTCTTCCAACACCATCTGACCAAACAATACTCATAATAGTAACAATCATAGTAGGAACCATTATTACAGGACTAGTTATACTCGTAATCTACGAACTCGTTAGAAGACAAAGAATAAACAAATGAGGCGACCATAACCAAATACCACTAGTACCCTTAAACTATTGAATGACCAACTTCTTTAATAAACTTTTTAGAAAGAAAAAAGTACCTAAACGACAAAATCCCAGATACTTTCAAAACCTACAAGATTTTGAACAAAGATTTAACAACGCTACAGAATTATTAGTAGATTCAGGAAAATACGGAAGATACAGAAATACAAGACACCCGACCTTACATCCAAACCATTCTATAACTGACCTTAGAAGTCATAACCAAAGAGTATCTATAGTACCAAAAAAAACAAATATACCTACCTATTTAAATTATATTTAATGCAAGAAGAACAATTACAAGCAAGACAACAAGTAATATTCTCGACAATCTTGATACCAACACCAACAGTAACCTTAATCCAAACAACAGCAACAACTCTAACAGTAACAGCAAGCTCAACAACAATTGAAACCCTAACACCAAGATACTTTCAAGACAACAACGTAATTACTCAAGACATAGTATCAATAATAGTAGTAATAGCAGCAATACTATTATTCGTATTCTTCAATTGGAGAAGAAACTTATTGGAAATAGAAAGAGAACACCAAAATAAAAGAAAACACGCAGATCAACTACTAGAAACTATAACTGACATTTCAAAACCAATCTAACAAAGTGGAGAACATTATAAACGACATAGGCATACTACCAATAATATCCAACGCAACATTTCAGTAGATGACTCAAAACTTTTTAATACTCATTACCCTGGACCAGAATATAATTCAACTATTTGAGACAACAATTAGATATATTATTTACTATCTAATAACCCATACTATATTCGTGCACCTGCATCTTATAGCACAAACACTTAGAAGACTGAATGATGACAGACCCATCAAAGATATTAAACAGTAATTTTACAATAAATTGGGAAGAATTAGATAAAAATCTAAACGAAACAGAAAAACACCTACAACAAAAAGATAAAGTAAAATACTTACCATTAAATAACACAGAAGAAGTATATTACGAACGTGTCAAATTAGTAATCAAAAGAAACAAACCATTAACTTTAAGCCAAGACGAAAAGAAAACTTATTTAATCCGTTGTATAAGAAAACAAGACCCTCAGGAAGAACTTGAAGAAATCTCTACCAAATTTAACTTAAACTTACAAGCAACAATAGCATTCACTAAACAAAAGTATCAAGTGAATGATAAGTGAAGCTTTAAACAGAAAATACCCTTTCAGCTGGAACCATTTTGAAAGAAACAAAATATTCTACAATTTATTTAGAAGAATTTTTGACAAAGAAATACCAGGCAACACAATAGATAGGACAACATATACTGCTAATATACAGTATTTAGAACGAATTAAACAACATTACTACCAAGACCAACAACTTTAACAAAAGATAAAAAAGTAGTAACTTTAATACTTGCACACCAACTCAAAAATATAGAATATTTCGAGTGGATACTAGAAATC